ATGTCTCTTCTTTTAATGAAAATTAATGCATTTTATGAAATTATGAATTCTAAATATTGTATGGGTATTATATATTTGACATATATTTTAATTTCGCCTATATAATTAGTAATCTTTTCCTTTCGTTTCTCAAGATTGAAATAAAAATTGACTTATAAAATAAAAATTAACATTTAATAAAGTTTTATAATTAAATAGTTAATTAGTATTAGATTTTGTTAAAGAAAAATAGAGAAAAATATAAAAAAAATTAATTTTTTAAAAATTGGATTCACCCGACATAATCTGAGATCCATGTAAGTGGATCATGAACCTACCTCTTTAACCTAACACATAAAATAACCCAATTCAAAAAACTCAAGATTTAAAATCACCTAATTTGAATAAACTCAATCTAACCTGTTTGCCAAGCCTACATGAGACAACTTTCACACGCTATACAAATTTCACCTCCTCATTATGGTTTAAGTTGGACCATATATCCCAGAATTAAGAAATTCATACTAAATAACCTTTTTTTCATCGAGCTTGTAAAAGAATCAAACCTTATTTAATAAAGTTAAGGACAAACTCAATTTTTAACCAACTATCAGGTTATTACCCTTTAATTTGTGTCTATATTTTTTGATTTAGACAATTACTTCAAAATTAATGTCCCTCCAAATGATCTTAAAAGCAAACTATTCCTTTTATCCTAAAATAATTATTTTTTTACTTTAAATTTGTCTCAAATTAACTATTATTTTTTTATTTTTTAAGATAGACAAATATTTTTTCTCTATTTTAACCTTATCACTATCTATTTATTTTGATTAATTATCTTATTACAAAAAATGTTAATTTTTCTTTTAGCCTTTTTCTAAGAGTAATTAGATAAGTATATAAATGGTCCCTAAATTTTTAAGAAAAAAATCAAAAAACAAAAGTTATTATTGGACAAAAGAAGTCCATATTAGGCTGTTCGCATTCAAAAAAGAAAATATTCTTTTAGAGTTATCTTAAACACTAAGAGCCTATTTGGTTAGATAGCACTTTATTAAAAAAGATATTATTGAAAAAATGGTTAAGAAAGTATTATACAAAAAGTTAAAAAATATTGTACAAAAGTTGTTAAGATTTATAATAAAGTTTTGTTAGGTTGTTGATTTTATTGCATTTGCTAAGAAATTGATGTAGAGAAATTTGTTAAGTAAATCCAATATAAAAAAATTTATAGAAATTTTTTTTCCTTTCAAAATAAGTGCAAGAAAAATTTATAAGTTAAAAATTATAAAAAAAATATTTAAAATATTACTTTTACTTTAATTTAATTATAATATTAATTAATATATAGAACTACACGAACAATCTTATAAAAAGAAAAATTTAGAAAAGTACTATGAAAGTTTTCCCAACCATAAACACTTCCTTCCTGAACATACACTACAATCCCCAGAGATAGCAAGGAAGAAAGTTGAAATTCTATACAAAGACATTTAAACATGCTTATTTGTTAACAAAGTCATTATTAAATGTGATGGGCGAAGACGACAAACATCTTATTCACTACCACACCAACTTTCGGGAAAAACCTATTTTAAACCCTTTCGCTTAATAAATTTATAGGTTTAATTTTTTACTTTATTTTATGTTATTTTTAATTTTTTATCTTAATAAATTTATAAGTTTTAACCCTTTATTTTATACTATAACATTTTTAACCATTTAATTATACGAATTGAAAAAAATAACTTTCATTTATCATTAAGTTATAACATTTTGTTATTTCTGTTAATTAACTGTTAATTAATTGTTATCGTTATTAGTTGACTGTTAACTTTATTAGTTGACTATTAGCATCCATTAATATCTTGTTATAAAAAAATATAAAATTTAAATTTAATTTTATTTGTTAGTTTCATTAATAGAATATTAACAGAATATTAACAATCAATTAATAGAATTAATAATCAATTAACAAAACTAATAGAATATTATAACTTAATCTTAAATAAGAGTTATTTTCCTCCATTCATATAATTGAGGGTTAAAAATGTTACAATATAATGTGAGAATTAAAAGTGTCATAATATAAGGTGAGGGTTAAAATTTATGAATTGATTAAGATAAAAAATTAAAAATATCATACTATAAAATAAAAATTTAAAACCTGTAAAATCATTAAGATAAAGGGCTCAAGTATGCTTTAGGCCCGACTTCAACGTAGCCACACCACCAAATCTCTCCTGTTTTTTAACTTATTCCAAAAGCATATCCCAAGCACGGATTCTTAAATACCATTCTTAAATAATTATCATCATCATTGGGATGTGGTTTTAGCGGTAATGCCTTTTTGTTATGGTCATATAATTTATTTTTGTTTTAAAATCTTTTAAATAATTTTTTAATTAAATTATTATTATTATATTT